CTTATATGCTGGTCAAAAATCATGTGTATCAGTAAAACTATTTGGCAAATAGGAATGTGTTGTAACCTAAGAAAAGAGACTAGAGTCACACTATTTTTTTTTATTAATTAATAGCAAATGTCAATATTTGTTGACTCTATTTTGTCCTCCAAAAAATGAAATAAGAATTCCTTTTTTGGATATTAAAACCTCCTTAGATGTGCAGGTAAAAACACAAATATAAATCATTGTGATTAAAATGAAACTTGTTCAATAAAATATTAATCATTACATTCTTTTGGATCCAGCTCTCTGCAGAGGGACTCTGCCATAATGAAGTTTGAAACATCTAGAATTTTGTGATTTCTAGTAATTTGTTTTCACTGTCTTGTCTATTATTAAATTATAATTGTATATTATTCCAAAAAAGCAAAAGAAACTAGCAAATGTTGCAATACTTGGTAAAATCATGTACAATTTTGCAAACATGAACATTGCTATTATTCCATTTCTTTTGCTATTTCTTTTCTAATTCCAAAGTAAAATATCCATATACGAAACTCTTATTTTCTTTATCATTATATCTAGTATCTGAGGAACTGACAAAGCTATTTTCAATTGCAGAGAAAAATATGGAACTGTATATTCAACATTAGCAGGCCATCATCAATATTCATTAAGTACAGTATCTCATACATAACAAGTGGAAAATACTCTCGACACAGGAGAGGTTAATATTTAGATCACAATCACTAAAATTATTTAAAGCTGAAGCAGATAAAGTTTCATGGTTTTTATTCCCAATTTATAATTATTTAATTTAATGTCATTATATTTGCGCTATTATTAATTTTATTATGTTGAACATCAGTTATCTCTTTTTTATATGTAAAAATTCAATATGAGACTAATAGTCTGTATATCGTAATTAGACTTGGGTATAACTAAAGTGAAAATGGTATTGGGCCTCAAATACAGTGTTCTAACAGGGAACAGGGCAGAGCATCCATGATGTTTTTTAGTATTCCAAAATGCACCTCCGGTAAATCAGGTTTATAATAAAACAGCACTTCTAAATAATTAAGGAAAGATTAACGGGCATATCAAGATTCATTGCAAAGTGGGAGGAAGGTTTATTTAAAAACAACTTTTGGTGGAATATGAACCATATATTCTACAGCCTATAATACTCCTGGGGGGATCCTCTTTTGACTCAAGATTTATATTAATGAAACAAGTAGCAGATTAGCACCGGTGCAAGGAGGAAATTGGTCAACTGAGAAATGGGAGGTTGCTCTCAACATAAATTCAATGGTAGAAAGTACTACCTACATAAGAATAGGAGAAGATAATAGATCTGAACACAGATATCTAGGGGAGAAGTTTATATATGGCAACCATGGAAAAGAGGAGGTGGAGGAGAAGCGGTAAGGCAGGGAGAATTCATATACATTTGTTCATTGAACTCAAACGTTTCATACTGCCATGTGAATCTTTTGTAGTAGATAGAAGATAAAACTAACAGAAAGCACAAAGTTGTCACTAAGTCTTTTTACTATCTATGGACTCTAGGCACAACTGTAAGATTTATTTGACAAAACGATTGCTTGAAAACAGCAAATTGTGTCATTGGGTATTTTTCTTTGGAAAACATGTCACCCCAACTTTCTGAAGTTCAGTTTCTACAGACTTAGAGCTCTATATTGAGTTACACAGACACACACACACACACACACACACACACACACACACACACACACTCACTCTTAAATGCTTTGGGTCCCCGCTCAAAGCTGATATAGAATTGTGATCCTTGTGTTTTAGTTTCTTAATCATGTATTAGGTATCAACCAACCTAGGGATTACAGATAGAGCAATAAGGATTTCAGCTCCGTACTCAACGCTGTGTGTGATTTTGGGGCCCATCCATAAACAACGACAAAGACTTGACTAAGCAGGCCTGACAGGGAGAGCTGCCCTACTCACGCTAGAGCGTAGTCCTCTGATGGCAGCTTCAGTAAGGACTGCAGGGCCATGCTCATACACAGATCAGCATCCCTTGACTGGTGCCTCCCCTGGGAGGCCTCTCCAAGGGCGGCCTTTGGCAGATCCTCCTCAAGCATGTTTGCCAAGACCTCCTTTTCATCGGGAGAGGAGGAGGAGTGTTGAACACAGTTGTCTCCCTTCCAATTCAATATTCAGTGCTTTTCCACTCCCTGCCCTTTCCTGACCTTCCATAAAACTGCAGAAGCCTTTTGTTCAGGGTTTCTTAGGCAGTGAGACAACCCCACGTCTGTGCTGACCCGCCTGATCCTTGAGAGAGCTGTTTCATGGAGAAAAAACGATGGGGATCATGGGCACTTTTTCCAGTTTAGCCTCAAAGGTTTGTTACTGTCATTTTGGCTTGATGTCTTAATTGCCTACTCCAACACCTGGCTCTCTCCCCAGAGAAGTTAAGTTCCTGATGGCTGGGGATAAATTTAATGACTACTGTTTAGTATCAGTTGAGGTTAACCTAATTAATTTACCTAGAGGGAAAATTCTGACCCCTGTCTGTCAGACCTCACCTAAAACACAGAGGCGGTGAAGATAAATCTAACTTCTGCCTTCAAGGAGTTTACTGCCTGGTGAAGATGATAGCTGGATAGCTGGATACAACAATGAAACTACAGCTGTGTCCTTGTGATAATTTCTGTTATTAGTTATGTACAGTGGAATATGAAAAATCTAGAAATGGCACCCATCCAATTCTAGGAGGTCAGGGCAAGCTTGCTGGAAGATATGCTGTCTACAGGCAGATACAGAGAGATAAGAATCAAAGCCTCTTCTGAAGAAGGGTTAAATATATCTCAAACAGATAGGCAATGGCCTGCTTCTTTCATTTGTCATTTTGTTGTTGAGTTACTTGCTAAATTTTAGGAAATATGTATATATTCTACATATCAGGGCTCTGTCAATTCGGGCAAGAAACATTAAGGACTTCAATTTTTGCCAGATTTGAAAGGGGAGCAGTACAGCGAGTTAGAATTCTTTCAAACATGTAGGACTGTTTTGAAACACCTACCCAACTGAAAGTGCATAGACACTCTATTACACTTCCAGATGCATGCAAAAACACTTTTATTGTCACAAAGATGACTTTTATGGCACAAAGCTATATGTATATTAAAAACTGTTCACTGAAACAGTATTTATAATAATGAAACCTGGAAGCAACTTGCCTTTTAATGGGGATATAGATAATTACAACATATATATGTTATAGAAAATTATGCAGCCCTCTAAAAAAAGGGTTAGCTGTATATATAGAGAAGAAAAAATATATATATACTTTAATAAAAGTTGTACTAAATTTTACATGTAATATAATTGTCATACCTTCTATACATATGTAAAATTACAGAAAAAATGACTGAATATTTAACACACGAAGAGGAAAAATTAATTGCATTGAGTTTTATATGTTCTAAGTGTTTAAATCTTTCCACACATATATAATAGTTATACTTTTAAAATTACAATAAGGTAATATATACAAATAGTTAATTAAAGCTTACTAAGAACTTTGGAAAATATTTTTAATAAAGGTTTTACATACATCAAGGTTATAATTAAATTTAATATGATGTAATTTTTTAAATTTTTCTCTTTTAAAAAATACTTAAACTTACTTCCTTTTCATTTTTCCCTTTTAAAAGAAAAGTATTTCGTACTCATCCTATAAGAAAATTAGTTTCAGATTACTAGTAATTACTTAGGTACTAATAAAAAAATATTTCATCTCAGTAAATATACAAATAAGGGGGTTATCTGAAATTGTGCAGGAGTCATTGTATGGATAGTCATATTTAAAATAAAATGAAAAGAGACTAAAATATGCATTTATGCTTTTAATTCTGAAAACCTGAATACCTATTCAACTATTGATTCTAAGTATTTACAGAACTTAATTTCTTCTTTGGACATGCTTTGGCAGGTTTATCTAGTGTACTCACATTTTTGCCTTTTTCCTAATAATTAAAAATCTCCTGAGAAAAAGATATTCAAAAATGTTTTTTTGTGTACTCATGATAAACACAAATATAAAAAGTTTTAGAGGTCAGGCACAGTGGGTCATGCCTGTAATCCCGGCACTTTGGGAGGCCAAAGTGGGTGGATCACTTTAATTCAGGAGTTTTAAACCAGCCTGGCCAACATGGTGAAACTCCATTTCTACTGGAAAAAAAAAAAAAAATACAGGCCTAGTGCCTCACATCTGTAATCCCAACTACTCAGGAGACTGAGATGGGAGAATCACTTGAGCCCAGGATGTGGAAGCTGCAGTAAGCCAAGATCACATCATTGCCCTCCAATCGGGGTGACAAAGTGAGACTCCATCTCAAAAACAAAAAAGTTATAGAAAAAAATCTGATTATATGATTTACTGAAAACAAGTCTCAAATACCCAAAAGAGGCCAAACTTGCTTTGGTCTTTGGATATCATTCTGGAGAGATGGTGAGTCTACTTTTGTTTAAAATGTGTTATTTTTATTTATTTTTGAGCAAAAATAACATTTTATAATTTATGCTTAACATAAATGTGAAAATATTACTAGATTGTCTTCACATGCAAAAATTCTTGTCAAATGTATTTCACCTAACTTTTGAAGTTTACTACTATTTCAAAAAACAGTTAAGTTTGTTCCCCAAACTATCATCCCATCAAACACACACAGACCCTTGAGAATAATTAGGCTTTCTGAAACAAGTTTAGTATCCAACTAAATGTAGTTTTCTTCAGAAACTAGTATAAATCTGATTATATACAGTTGTTTCATGTAATATATATCTGATGATATACAGTTGCTTCATGTAAGTAAACATGTTACTAGATAATCCAAGTATAATTGTCGTAGAAAATTTTGTGTACATTTAAATAATTTCTCTATTTCTGTCTCTTTCTCTCTGTTTCTCCCTCTCTCTCTCTCTCTCTCTCTCTCACACACACACACACACACACACACACTCACACACATATACACACAGTCCTTTATAATTACTTTGAAAAAAATCACAAAAAGGAAAAAATCATTAATCTGAGATTATAACACAAAATCCACAATTTTTCTGTAAACTATCTATAAATCTATGTTTGTACTTGAAATTTATCATGCTTATGAGAAAGTCAAAGACTTCAAAGTTTTCAATACTCTTTTCACTTCAAAAGGAACTGAAAATCTAAATGTAATTTAGTACACCTTTTAAAATATTCACTGCTGCCTGCCAGCTAACTGCACGTTATTTTAGTTAGTAGAAGCAGCACTAATTTGCAATATCTTTCTAAGACTATCTAGCTACAGGTAAAAATTTGAAGACAGCTGGCTCAAGCTAATGTCAAGCTTTAGGACAGCTTAACCCCTAAAAGAAAAATGAGAAATAACCCAACTCTCTAAACATCAAAAGGAAACTGACCTTGCTTGACCATTTTTAGAACAACATAATGGTTTCTTGAGATTTTTCAACATTTATGAAAAGATAGAAATTAAGATGAGTCATTTAATAGCATGCATGCTTAAATCAAAAGAATCATTTCTTATTTTATGAATTTTTTAAAAATTGAGCCCAGATGTTTCAAAGTATAAATAATTTGTCAAATTACGCATAAAGCCAAATTTGAAAAATGTGACTGGTCATTCCCATTAAGAAACTCAACTGAAAATTTGTTTCACTGAATCAAGCTTAAATAAGTAATTGTGTACTTAGATGTAGCTGAATTCTAAGAACTCTTTTTAGACTAGTTATATATTTTGCAAACTCTTTGCTGTTCTCTGACTTCAAAGTAAGAGAGAAGGATCAAGTGACAAATACAGTGGAAAGGGAGTTACATAGAAAGCCTTTCCATTTTGACTCAGAATTAAAGATGTACCCATTCTTAAGTTTTAATGGGGAGACCTGTGTGGCTGACTTTTCCCCAATGTAGCTTCCTCATTTGGAAGACTGTTTTGTTTTTATACATAAAAACTGATTGGGAGGCCCAGGTGAATGGATCACCTAAGGATGCGAGATGGAGACCAGCCTGACCAAAATGGAGAAACTCTTGTCTCTACTAAAAATACAAAAATAGCTGGACATTGTGGCAGACACTTGGAATCCTAGCTACTTAGGAGGCTGAGGCAGGAGAATCGTTTGAACCCAAGAGGCGGAGATTGCTGTGGTGAGCTGAGATCGTGCCATTCCACTCCAGCCTAGGCAAAAAAAGTGAAACTGTGTCTCAAAAAAAAAAAAAAAAAAAAAAAAAAAAAAACTGAAAGATTTCTAAGGTCACTGTGGTAGACATAATAATGGCTTACTAAAATGTCCACATCCTCATGTCTGGAACCGTGAAAATGTCACCTTCCATGACAAAAGGGACATTGCAGAAGCAATTATTTAAGGCTCTAGAGATTGGAATATTAAGCTGGGTTATTTGGGTGTTCCAAATAAAATCCCAAGTGGAGTTCTTGTAAGATTAAGAAGATGGAAGGAGATGGGAGATGTATTATGAAAGCAGAGTTTGGAGTGATAGGATTTCAAGATGGGGCAAGGGGTTATAGCCAAGAATGCAAGCAGCCTCAAGACAGCAGAAGCTCTTAATTTTATCCTGTATGTCTATTTTGGTCTTTACTTGCAGAACTGTCAGATAGTGAATTTGTGTTGTTTTAATCTGCTAACTTGATAGGAATGTGCTCCAGCTACAATGAGACAAATACAGAGTTTTGTGTATGTGTGTGTGTCTGTGTATTTAGAAAAGCAGTAAATCTAAATCTAGATTTTCTGGTTCTCACTTAGGTTCTTATATATTTAATTATATAGCAAGTCATATAACATTATTAACATAATACTAGTTATGTAACTATTGCTCTATTATTTTCCTCATATTTTAGTTTTTCATTAAAAGAAAGTTTAAGAATATATGTATCCATATATGTATATACACATATGTAAATATATATCTGTGTATGTGTCTGTGTATATATATGAGCATATATATTCAAAGTTTTAAAACATTTTTCACAGTAATGCTGGCAATAGAATTCTCATTTCTGTTTTTTTTTTTTTTTGAGACGGAGTTTCGCTCTTGTTAACCAGGCTGGAGTGCAATGGCGCGATCTCGGCTCACCGCAACCTCCGCCTCCTGGGTTCAGGCAATTCTCCTGCCTCAGCCTCCTGAGCTGGGATTACAGGCACGTGCCACCATGCCCAGCTAATTTTTTGTATTTTTAGTAGAGACGGGGTTTCACCATGTTGACCAGGATGGTCTCGATCTCTTGACCTCGTGATCCACCTGCCTCGGCCTCCCAAAGTGCTGGGATTACAGGCTTGAGCCACCGTGCCCGGCCCAGAATTCTCATTTCTATGTGTCTTTTCTTTGGAGGTTTAAGTATGATTCATTTGTGAATTGCTACATTATCCTGACAAAAATTTAACAGTACAGGCAATATATAATCTCCCAAAGATTTTAAATCCCCAGATAACATTCAATGAGTTGTCATTGACTAGTATGAGAAACACAAGGCACAGAAAGTGATATGGTTTGGCTCTGTGCTGCCACCCAAATCTCATCTTGAATTGTAATCCCCATAACCCCCACATGTCAAGGGACCTGGTGGGAGGTGACGGCATCATGGGGGCGGTTTCCCCTATGATGTTCTCATGATGGTTCTCATGAGATGCGACGGTTTCATAAGTGTTTGACGGTGCCTCCTTCACATGTGTTCTCTGCTGCCATGTAAGACGTGCCTGCTCCCCTTTTGGCCATGATTGTAAGTTCCCTGTGGCCTTCCCAGCCATGCAGAACTGAGTCAGTTAAGCCTCTTTTCTTTATAACCTACCCTGTCTCACGTATTCTTTATAGCAGTGTGAAAATGGATTAATATGGAGATTCTACACATTTCTCTGTATAAGATATAGACTCATTTTCTGTTTATAGTTAGCTTTTACAAAATTTCAGTAACATTTTTACTTACATTTATATAATATTTATTCTCAAAATGTTATGCAACCAATTACTGTCATATGTTTTAGATCTAAAGTGGACTTTGTTTTTCCCAAGGAGTATTTTGTATGACTTCTTTTCAATACTGGCGTGTAAAAAATGTAAAATTCAAGTTTTAATCAATAAAACTTTTGATTAAACTGAGACATGATGGTCATTACCAACACACAAAAGGGTCATCTGGGGTGTGGTGTTGCATTAGGATGAAATACTGGTACTATACACTCGGTAGTGTAGGACAGGAGAATGGATTGTACTTAAACCTCTAAAGGATGGCCTCAATTAAGGAGATAGAAAATGGGAGTTAATATTGCCAGTGTTGCCATGTAAAATTTAATAATTATTTTCTTAATTGTTGCGTTATTAATTTAGTAATTTCCTAAAGAGAAATTTCATTAACAAATTAACAGGACCAGCTACAAAATTTTCGGTGTTGAGTGCAAAATTGAAATATGGGACATCTTATTCAAAAATTATTTAAAACTTGACATGAATGACACCAGAGAATTAGCCAAGTGGTGGGCCCCTGCAAATGAGCAGATTATATAAATCCATCCCTGAACATCAGTTAGTTATAAAAGATAAGCATTTAAGGCTAGGACCCATAGCCATATTTTTACCCATACCTGCATTCATCTCTGTGTTTATATACCTATAACAGTATTTAGATCTATTTATTCACAATCTTAGAAACAGTTTGTAGAGAGATATTTAAAGATTAACTAGTGCAAACTTGTGCTCTTACAAAAGAGAAAACTGAGTCACAGTGCTTTAGTTGTATCAGTAGCTAATATTATAAATAAAAGCAACACACTATCTTAAATATATTTATGTTTTTCTTATTACTACTAGTTTAGTACTCCTATGTATTTTGTGGTACTTCTCTTCAATATTGGCGTCAAGAAAGAAAATGTGAATCCCGAGTATAATCAATTAAATTTTTTATTAAACTGACACACCATGGCCAATGCCAACACACAAAAGGGTCACATGGGGTGTGACATTGCATTAGGATTACACACTGGTACTATATGTTGCTGCTACATGCTATTTCACTCAGTCATGTAGGACAGAAGAATGCATTATACCTAAGCCTCTAAGTATTGGTCACAATTAATGAGATAGAAGACGGGAGTTAATATGCTTAGTGTTGTCATGTAAAATTTAATGATTAATATGATCTCTCATATATTCCATGGCGATTGTTTGGCGTATTCTTATTTAAGACATGAGAGTAAGTACTATAAAAGCAAGAACTTATAATGATAGGGCCATCAATTATCAGTTCTGTTCTTACACAGCTTCTCCCCACTCCTACCCCTTGGAAGCAAACAAATGGCATGAGTTGGCCCCTACTCACCCCTTCCCTGGTGTCAGTGGATGATGGCAAAAGAACCACTTGGTTGATATCACTATGGAATAGAACTTCATATTGTTTCTCTAATTCACTGTTTGAAATAGTTTTTCAATAGAATATTTTATCTTGTGTTTGGAAGAATAAAGAATGCCAATGAAACAAAGACAGCATAAGACTTTTAGCAATTGAGTACATTGATGGTTGTTATATAATGTAAAAATATGTAAGTAGAGAAATTACATAACTTATTGTTTAAGCTTAACAGGGACACCTTCAAGAGTTAACAAAGGCACTAGTAATAATTATGTTGAGACAACAGTGAAAACACTGCTGTCTTGAGTGAAACTGGATGTATGTCAGCCTACATGTAACTGAAGCCAACATCTATAGAAATTTTACAACTTCGCAGACACTGTTCTAAATGCTTTGCTGGTATTAAGTTCTTGATTCCTCACAACCTCACTGTGAGCTTTAAGTGCTTCCATTTTAAATACAAGAATACTGAAACACAGATGGGTAACACAGTTTCTTTGGCCTCTAGAGATTTTGTGAAGGTATTTATACTTTAACATAAAACTGGCATTCAAACACTGCTCCAGAGGCTACATCTTGAACAAATATGTAATATGATCTCTCACATATTCTATGGTGATTGG